CCGCAAACAAAGAAATACAGAAGCTGCATAATTTAGCTGCATATAAATGCATGCTCAGAAAAATGTCCTTTCAGTTGGACTCAGATATAGAATTCAGAGTGCAGACACATGCATACACACACACATATATGTATATATATACATTTTTTCTAACGGCAGAAGCCTGCGCTCTGTCCTCTGATCGAATGGAATGCCAAAATAATTAAGCACTATGTAGGAATATATCAGCTGGGAAGAGCAACACATCTGGAGATGTGAAAACATAAACAGTTCTAAGCAAAATTTCATTTCCACAGAGAATCTTTCTGTTTAAACTGCTTTCCCTATCCTTCAAGGATATGGCATCTATTCGCCTGAAGATAACGTATATCAATTTTAAGCCACATTTATGAACTTCTTTCAAAAGCTAGGATGCCTCTGAGTTATTAAACCATTAAACGCTTCTGTCACTTTTCACGTCAAGGTTAATAATCAAATGATTAAACAGATTAAAGTTAGAAGTCCAGCAGTAAAAATGTAATATTTTCACCCATTTTATTAAATTCAAGAAAAATCCTAAATGGGTTTTGATGTGAAAAACTGTGTTGAATTGTTTGTAATTAAAAGACAACTGCTGGAAAAGAAACTTAAAATATTTTTCATAATGTTCTTAAAAATAAGTTGTTTGATTCTTCTTTCCAGTAGGGAAATGAACCCCACATTTCATTTCAATATATTAACAAACCTCCATCACTTTAATTTACCTGATTTTCTTCAGATTAGGAGTCTGAATATGCTTCCAACATCAGAAGCGCCTAATCAAGAACAATGATGAATTTGCACTGGAAAATTAATAGCTGCTTTGGTTGTGACAAACTCTAAAGTGGGCTACTACAAAGTTTTCAACAAAACACACTATACACACAATTACTGTTGACTTACAGGTGTGTCAGCACACAGGGAGAGAGATGAATAATGCTTGTAAAGGACTGTGGTTTGGGGCAGTATTTACTTCAGTGTTGGACACAGCCTGTAGTGAAATGCTCGGTGGGGTGGGATGCTTCATGCACTAGGCAAGAAGTGTCCAGGATGGAGCACCCCAGCAGTGTGGGAAGGTGAGGGCAGTGCCATTTGACTTCATTTGACTTCTGTTAAGCTGGAACTTCAGCAAGAAGGTTTTTTTCTTAGATATTCATTGCCTCAAGTACTCCTAAAAACTATGGCTTACTAAATCTTTTATTTATTTATTTTTAATAGACAGTGGAAATGTTGAAATTTACTGTAGAAATATTTGCTATATAAACATTTTCCTGGAGGAGAAATGTGTGGAAATTCCTTTAAGAAACCTTGCTGACAACTTCACTGAATCCTATTGCTGTTTCTATTTTGGGACAGTTCGTGAAGGATTTATCTGGTTTGTGAAAAGCTGTAAGATAGTTCTATACAGTGTATGATGATACAATGAATTTAACATTTGTGTTACCTTTCAGACTCCTACATTACAGCAATCTTTCAGTTTTATGACCACATGCTGTGTATGAAACACCACAGTGCCATACTGCATGCTTCTCACATCATTACATGCCTTAAGTAAACTCTGTGTTGGTCCTGTTCAAAGTTAAGCATTGCTGTGTTGGGTTCTGCTGTGATACAAAATGCGCAAACATACAGAAAGCACTAGGATCTGGAGCCAAGTGGCTGAAAGAATACCACTGTTTGAGACGGTGGTTTTCTTGTTTAGGTCGTGGGAGTAAATCATAAGAAAACTATCTGAAAATTACGTAGCTGAACAAAAAAAGAGCACATTAATTCAAACAGTCATGTATCCAATCATCTAAGTTGCATTTAAAGAAATCCAAATGAAAAATAACTTGTCCTGAGATGAAATCTCAGCTTCGGTACACACCAGAATAAAATGGTAATCACTGTAACTGGTATCTCTAATTTGCCATAGCAAAAAATGCCCATTTGTTAATAAACTGCATCCCTTGCAGTGCTCTTCTGTATAAGAAAAGTAATCTCCATTAATTAAGGTTTATAATACAGGAAACAAATAGGAATGATAAAACCCTTTCTCAAAAACTAACTTTTAACTTCAATTTGAAGTGGAAAATGTGCATGTAGACATGGCAGTATTTGCGTGAAAATTTGCTAGAAACATCCTACTCAAATTAACTTCTCATTCTATTAGCTCGCTATTGTTGAAGATAGCAATATAATGTTGTAAAAGTCACTCCCTCTATGTATACTGTTTCTTTATAGTAAAATGCCATGATTTATTATTTTTATTTCCAGTCGCCTGGCTTTCTCTCTGGAGGAATAGCTGATTAGTCTCACTTCAGGCAGTTTCAACCGGAAAGAGAGAAACAGCTAAAACAAGCTAGGAAAAAACACTACAGGAGCTATTTTGCTCTCTCTATAATTTGAAAGAGCTCTTCAGCCACTGTGTTGTTAAATTCCACCGGGTTCTGCTGGAAGAAAGTGAATGCTGCAGGCGAGGTGTTGAGGAATTAACATTTTTTTTTATTTATTTATTTTTTTTCCAGCTGTGTGTCTCTCCTTTTTTGGAAAATATTTTTAGATTAAATCCTTGCTATAGCTTAAAATAAATCTCATACTTGGGATATATAAGAGTAAATCTTATTTACTCTGTGTGGTAGTATGTCTGTTTCTCAGGATTCATGAGAAAACAGGAGCTCATTTATACGGTCAGATGAGAATTGAAGGTGATGCTATTGGAGCAAGTGGACACTGTGCCTTCATGTCATTGTCTGACATGAAGATTACTACCTATCATAGTAGTAGTAGCACAGCTCTGTAGAAGGAGATCTCAGAGAAAACTTGTCCTGAGGACCTGCTGACCATACTGCAGAGATTTCCAGCACTCTGAATGTACTGCACTGCCATCACCCATGCACTCCAGGTGTGGTTGGAGCACTTTGGTGTGCTCCTGGAGAACATCTTCCTGAAGACACACAGTTCAGGTACTTTGAGACGGCAACCAAAAGGCAGCAAGGGGAGACACCCAGGATGTGTGTATGTCAGGTACTTCTGCCTGGGCTGAACAAATCCATTAATGCCTATGCACTCATTTTGCTTAAGAGAACAGGATAACACTATGGTGAATAATTGAATTGTTGCTCAGGTGTGATGGGGGTACTGTAGCAATGGAAACAAAACCAGGTCTGCTGAACAGTTCTTCACTTTCAAGTGAAATAGCTTTTCTCTTTTGTACGACCTGAAAATAACTGAAACATGCACAGAAAACTTTTCATTAGCTTTGCAAGGTCCCCTAATGAGACTGATGGAGAATCAGCTGCCTCTTCATGTGACAGGCCTGAAGCAGGTAGCACAGGCTGCAGACCCCCAGCAGGAACTTGGGGTGGAGGTAACACCTCCCCAGCCTGCATCTGCCTTCAACTGGCATCCACAGAGAGGAGTTAGAGATCCACAACCTGTAGTAGTGTCCCAGCACCTACAACATGCACCAGCACAGCCTTGCTCTTGTGTGAGGCTATGGAAGAGGAAACGATCTAAGTTATTTGAACTTCTTCAACAAAGCACACTCAAGGAAACAAATGACAGCTAAACAGAACAAAACAAATTCTTCCTGAAAACCTCAAAATAAGGCAATTTTAAGGACAACATCTCCACATTATCTATTATGATTCACCATAATTATATTTATTATTGGCTTATTTTAGTCATCTCTAGACATATTAGAATGTTTTTCTTTCAAATTCAACAGGACACAGAGGTTTAGATTACTTATATTTATGAAAGGAATTATATGATGTGATGTGCTAGCAGGAGACAGGATATGCCAACCCAGGAGATCTTTTCCCACTTCTGCTTCTCTTTCAGTGTTCCTTTGTTCCTACTTAGGAGGCTGGTATAATACAAGCAGTACTCATAATATGCAATATATTTTTTCCAGATTACTTTAATAGTACCAAAAAGATAACCAGTGAATAATCATAATAAAATATATGCAAAGGGGATCACAAATCTCACTGATGCAGAACAGGAAGAATTTATTTTCAAAGTGTTGCTAATGACTTTCTGCCTGCCCCTTTGAAAATTGCTTTGAGCTTAGTACTATCCCTTTGAAATCCAATTCATAAATTCACAAGCAGTGTGAAATTCCGGTAGGAAATAAAACACTTTTATTCAAATGTATTATAGCATGTTAATGTTGTTTCTTAGAGCATAAGCTGCAGTAAACACTGCGCTGAAATACAAACAAGGAGTGACCTTACTATATGATTTTGAAAAGTTTCTGGGTTAAAAGCCACAAGTTCAGCAGACTCACACACAGATTACTGCAAATGGATCCAGATGATATTCTGTGGCTAATGCAATCACAGAGAAAGTGTTGCTCCTGTGAGGAGCGTATACCTTCCTCATGCCGAGGAATCAATACTGAGCTACTGCTTTGGGGAGCTGCAGGGACAAGTGCGATGCTTCCCAATTCACTGCCAAAAAAAGCAATATGCAGAGAGCAGGTGCTGCAGACTGGTGCTTTGGCAGCAGTGCCGTGTCATTCAGCAGCTGCTGATAAGTGATAATTTTTCATGGGAGCTATCTCAGAAGCATTTCTCCAAGTGGCTGGTTCTCATGACTGCCTCTGCTCTCATTTTACTCTGAGTGCTCCTGTTAAGCACTCTCTACAGATCTGCTCTGCCTGGAGTGTGATAGAAAGTTGCTGAAATTCTAAATATTGCCACTAAATACATATTGGTTTCTAACTGGGCTCTGGAAATAACTGGTAGTCTCCTTGTATCATGGTCTCTGTAGCTCTGCTAAATATTTTGTTGCTCTGCACAGATGGAAGGCATAGCTTCTGATGCTACCCAGCATTGTCTGTGCGTATTTGGCTGCCTCATGTCAAGAGCTGCTCACTTGCCTCTTCCTTTTCTTTTTAAGGAAAACCAACTGATATTCCTAAAGAATCACAAGAGGAAGTGATAGAAATATCCAGGATGCAGAAAAAGACAGGGAGATCAGAATTTCCTTAGTACCTGGTGGATGTGGTAGGTCCTGAGGATGTCCAGGGTGTGGGAGCTTCTATCCTGCATCGCAAGAGGTGTGTGATCTCCTGGAGACTCTGCCAAGCACCTGTGTGAAACCAATGGCCATGGAGTGAAATGGTGCCTCTTCAAAAATAAATAAATAAATAAATAAATAAATAAATCTTGGTTGCAAATCAGAGCAACTACCTTTGGAAAAAAAAAAAAAATAATAATGAAACATTAATGAACTGCAACTTCTATAGTCTTGGGGAACAGAAAGTTGTCAAGCTCAGTCCCATTCATGAGAGAAGTGAAAGATCAGTCACCTGGAACAGCACTGCCAGGGAATCTCTGGAGCAGCAGACGTGGCTTTCACGGGAAACCTGTCTCTTGTCTTCTGCAATTCTCACAAAATATTAGACAGCAAATGAAAGTGACCTCCACCGAATGCCAGGCAAACTTTCTCATTAATCGGGGAATTTACCAGGAGCTCTCTCTCTTTTAATCACTATTTTACATTTTTGACTAATGCCTACAAAAGAAAAAAGGGCAATTCCATAGATTAAGACTAAAATATGGGAAAGACAGAAAGGTGGAAATATCAAGAATTGGCTGATTTTGTATCAATGCTCAAAAATCCATGTTTTTCCATAAATTCTCTCTTGAAATCTCTCCAGCTTTATGATGTACTTCTATCATCTGTGTGCTGATTTACAAGAAAGGTTATTAATGTTTCTAAACAAGCATTTTTCATAGGAGAAAAGAAGTCATGCTTCTGACCATTTAAGGATCTACATTTATAGACTAAATGTGCAATTTCCAGTTGTGTCAGGCAGTGCATCCATCTCCTAGGTCAGGCCTCAAGCTCTGCAGTGATTCGGACAGACTTTCCTTTCAGTCCCTGCTCTGCTACCTGAGGCCAGGAGGTATTTGGCCAGCCCTTGTACCTCTCTTCATTCTGGGATAACATGCAGCCGGGCAGCCTCTTTAAAATGTTATTTATTTTAACGTAGTATCATAGAGAAAAGATGAAAATTGCAGAGCTGCCTCCCTTCAGACACCACTCTTGGGATGTGGGAAAGGTCAGCTCCTCCAGGCTCTCCCAGCCCCAGCCCTGAAAGTTTTAACCCTTTCCTTTTGAGCTCCATGATCCCAAACATAACTGTCACTTCTGAAAAGACAAAAGAAGTACAATGTTCTACAATAAACTACAAGAGCCCTTGCTTTGTCTGGGACAAACCTAGACATTCCTATTCCAGCTTGATGGCAGTAGATCAATTTTTGTATTTTTCACTTTACTTTTTATTGAATCTCTAGGAATTCAGTGATCATGATGAACAACACTCTGCTGCATTTGACTAATGGCCTCTCTTAATAACTATGCTGTACTTCAGTATTCTTGCACTGTAGCCCCCGAAGAGTTCAGTGCATTATTAAATATCAATTCCAGTTCTGTCATTTCAGGCTCCTTAATGCTGTTGAAGCTATCTTCATATTTGAAAACCATGTACAAGTACATGAATATCTTTTTGCTTAAAATTAGGCATCTAAATTCACCTTAAACATCCAAATAAAGCCAGACAGATTCTCAAAAGTGCTGAAAATCTACATCATTCACAGCCATCAGAGAGATCAGATGATGCTCAGAGCCTTTGGAAATATAGAAATCTGTTTTATAGCAAAATATACAGTTTTACTAGCTAAATGTCAGGTACCCACTCTCAAATATCTTCTTCAGAGAACTCTGCATTTTGCATCCAGAAATGTTTTCATTTCCTGGAATAGCTGTGTTTATTACTTTAATAAACTGAATTAGGAAATATGGTTATTGGTTTCCTAACTAGGCTAAATTAAGTTTCATTAAAAAATAAAATCTAGGATTCCAGTTTATTCTTGACATAAAGGCACTTAAAATGTAAAACCAGCCATATTCCTTTTCCTTTTTTATTTTAAAATGTGTAGATAAAGAAATCCTTCCTGCATTAAAGGTAGAGCTATTCTCAATGTTTCAAATGGAAGACAATACCATAAATACAACTTTTAATTAAAATATCAAGTACGTAATATTTCTATACTTATTACGTGTATGATTTTTCTGCTTTCTGTAGATCACAGAATAAAAACTCTTAAAATGTCTTTATTAAGCTAGCAGGGTGATGCTGCAGAGCTGTTACCTTGTCTCTCCTCTAGGAATGGAAGTATTTTGTGGAGCTGCTGTGGGCTGCAGAAGGTCCTTTCTGGAAGTAGGGTATGAATGTGGACATGGGCTGTAGCATCCCAGCCAAGTAAAACCCACCAAGAAATTATGTATTGTTCCTGGGTGAAATTAACTTGTCTCACACAAAACCTGTTTAATGGCCATGCCAGAGGTATGTCTCGGTTATGAAAGGAAACAACAGGTAGTAACATTTTTTGTGCTTATTACTTTCAGATCTGACACTGAGACAGCTAGGTCATGACTTTTTCAAAGCAGTTATCAAGTTGGTTGTGCATCCAGAGCTAATGCTTCTGTGGCTCCTGCTGAGGCATTGTGGCACCCTGCTCTCCCGCCGGTCTCTAATGGGCATCGGCTGACACCTTCCTGAAAGCTCTGCTGCAGCGTGATTTACTGTGCAGGGAGTAAATGCAAAGAGGTACAATATTAACTCTGGCTGCTTCAATCCAGTGTGCCCTGGCATGAAAGGGGGCCAAAACACAGCAGTGAGAAAAAATCTGCCTGCCCCAGCTTGTTTTGCTCTCCTTTGTACCTGACGTTACTGTAAGGCTCCTCCATGCCCACACCTTCCTGGAGTAATGTTAAGGGGATCCCATGTCCCTGGAGACATTTGGAAATCCCATCCAGGAGCGTGCTTATGTCCAGCTACACCCAAGCCTGTGGTGTGGGTGACCCACTCGTGTCTGCTTCTGCACATACCAGGCCTAGAAAAACCTGAAGGAATGGGTGCAGAACTTCATCAGGAACAGCCTGGTACCCATTCACCAGCACATCACACCTCGCTGGGATGGTCTGGCCTTCCTAGCAGGACTTCAGCGCAGCAGTGAGGCTGTTCCTGTCACGTCCCTCGCAGACCAATTCCAGCTGCATTTATTAATGGAGAATCACTGAAGCATGAGCTAATTCTTTTATCTACACTTTTGTCCCACAAATTGGTGTTTAATTGTCTGAATAAAGAAAATGGTGGGTGGACACTGTAGCGGAGATAAATGCATTGATTCTTATCGCTGAAACAGTTAAAAGCCCTGTTTATTTCCCCAGAGGAGCCTGTTCAGTATATTTATAAAAGCCACAGAGCTGCTTTGGACTGTGGGTGGGCTATTGTGGACTAATTTCCACTTGCAAGATTTTCAAACGATAGATTACCTCCAACAAAAATTATTGTGGAGATAAGCTGAAAAGGTTCCCTAAAATAAAAAGGTTCAGCTACCTCTAAACATAATGGCAGATTCAGCACATGTACGTCATATGCTGTGAAAATTACTGCATGTGTGTCAGAAAGAAGTTCTGCAAACTTTTTTCCAGGTTCATAACTGAACTACTGAACTTTCCACTCAATGAATTTAGATGTTGTAGGGCTGTAGTATGGAGAGAAAGCATTAAATTCAGTTTCTGTGACAGTAATTAATAACAGAAGAAATACTAAAAAAATAAAAAGCTTTGTGAGAGGCTTAATAAGTAGCTAAGTGATCAAAACCATTACAAGGAGTCACAACTGGGAAGACAAACTGTATCAAATCCTTATCTGCAAATGTTGAAAGCTTAATGAGATAATTGTTTATTTCCTTGTCTTCTTTATGACATTTTTTATTCTAAACTCTCTTCAACTGTACAGGCAGCACTGTTTAAGACAATGACACCTCCTTGCAAGCCAGGCAGGTCATCCCACTGAAATCAGTGAGATGGTTTCTGGCATAATGCATTTTTAGGCATTAGGATATAAAAATTGTCTTTTATTTTATAACAAATGTTATGACTGTCCTGGACCCCAGTCCAGCCCAAAGCACACACTTTCCTCTGATAGTGTATCTATAGTTTAAAAGGTAATTAATACATCTGAAGCTATTAATCTGTCAGAAGAACATAGGTTCAGAAATCACAATGCTTTAGTGAGCAAGAGTATGCACCAATTCTCCTGAGTCTTTGAACCTCTCAGTCAGGCACCAGCTCGATCCACATTCATAGGTCATATGGCATAAACAGAACAGTTAGTCCCAAGGAAATAAGAACTTACTGGAGAACAAAAAGCCTTTTTCTGTTTGTTCCATGTGGATACGTTAATCCTGCACCTGGGTGAGGGTTGTGTTACCTCCTCCTGCATGGAGGGGAGGACCAACCAGAGCACTGTTTCTTGCCCAGCATTAGAGGTAGGCATTTTTGCCTGTTGGCTGTTGCTACCACTGCTGCTGTGACTTTTCAGGCTTCATTCTTGAAAGGATAATAACTGACGAGATGAATATTGCTGAGAGGAGCTGCAGTGAGTGACTGAAAAATTACAATCTCAGGTTCTGGTTGCATATCTGCTTTCCACAGAAGTAACACAAGAAGAGAGTAGGATGTTCAACACCAACAGGCAAGAAGAGAACAGTGAAGTATGCATAAAACTGAAATAAACCAAAATTGCATGATTGTCTAGAGCCTCAAACCATTATTCATCTTGATGAAGAAAATAATCCAACAGAACATGCAATATTGTCCATGTTGCTCTCTTCTTAATCTGTTAGGAACAATTCAAGCTATATTCTCCTCATATAAACCCTGGCCAACTCTGGATTATCACATATGAATGTAAGTTGTATCCTCATCTCATTTCTTCCAGAAACCTGCTGAAATCCATGGGAATTTGGCATTAGAAAATAATACAACATATCACACTGTAATCATCATATTGCAGTGTGCCAGGCTATCATTGCAATAAATGGTTGTGTGGAAGGAGACAGAAGTATATGCTGATATCACTACACAATGCTTAGCACCACAAAGCAGTTTTACTAACTCTGCAATGGTAATTGATTAAGGGGAGCATGTTAAAAAAACACGTAAATAGATGCATTAGCTAATTACGAAAGAATCACTTTCTTCTCCAGTTGCATGAAGAGCACAGGAATGAT